CGGTCGTAAAATCACGCGTTCTCGGTAGCATCGAGGAGGGCTTCTCAGGACCGAAAAGAACTGAGGATTCGAATGGTCTCTGGAAAAGTACGTCGCAGAACTGATTCGGACTTACCAGGTCCATCTAGGTCTGGAGAGATCTTGAAAGACCTGTGTACGTCCAATCAGAACCAAATCCTCGACTCGGGTCTATCGAGGGATTTGGTGCAAATGTTTCAATCCCAGATCTCATTCTCAAGAGCTTCAAAGTTATCAGGTATTTCCCGATAGGTTTGTTGCAAACAAACGCAGGAGTCAAGTTTATCAAATTAAAAAATTATTTTCATCACACTGTGACGAGAAATGAACTTTTCGAAAAATGAACGAGGGTCTCACTCAACCAAGAAATCTTTTGTTTTTCATGTATATGTCAACATGAAAAATTACCAATGGAATTATCAAAAATTATCAGGGGAATACCGTGTTGTCTGTATAATATAACAGTCGAAATTCTGACAGTGCAATTCTATTGGCCGAAATTATAATGAAAGATTTTCAACAGAATCGTCCAAAAACTACTATAAAGTTCACTGGAAATCCAACAAAATTTTTCAACGAGTTCACCGGGTGTTCCCATAAAACATATTCGCACCAGTCAACAATTTCATTGACACCAATAAATTCCCCATTTTTTGAATTCCCCACGAATGCAAATGACTGAATGAAATGAGAAAGAAGCTCCCCACTAAGAAACCCATGAATGAAATACGATAAAGTATGATTGAGCCTCCGAAAACCCCCTCACGTATGCATAAAATAATATAACCTCGTGAAAACAACCGCCAAGGGGATTTAAAAATAATCCATAAACCCCATCCCTTCACCCCCCCCCCCCCCCTATGTTACTGTCCCGAATACCCGTAAATTTGTATGAAAATAAAAAAACTCGTCCTCGGTTTTGGCATCAAAGTTACGGTCGTGGGTTATAGACAAAGAGCGAAAGGAATTGGCGTGGGCGAGGGGGCGGTGGGGGGTACGAGGAGGAGCAGGAGGTTAGTAGTGCGCGACGAGACCTTCCCTAGAGCACGGTCATGGCGAGTGCGCCGCTATTTAGTAGATATAGTTACGAGGGTTATGCTGTAGGGGTTGTTGGCGCAAGCGTGTTGTGCGATCTTCATCGATACCCTTACGGGCCCGGGCCACGGCGTTCACCAGTTAACGGTAGAGGCCGTCTTGTCAGTAGTAAAGCCCGGGCTGGTCAGCTGCGGCTGTTTTCGGGGGTGATAAATACAATTTATTTATGTTCGGTGGATTTATTTTACCCCTCACTCAATGACTCCGCATCCTCCTTTCACTGGGAAAAACTAATGCTGAGTTCAACATCTGTTTAACTAGTGTTTTTTTTCGTATCGTTATTCGAGTGTTGATGGTCCTCAGCGCGTGTGATCGAAACACTTGAGTGCATTATACACATCAGGCATGAGGATCGTGAGGTATGTATTTAGCAATGTTATCCTGCCATGGAATGTGCTAATCTATTAAAGATGGCAGTGTTTGGTAACATGGAGGTGGGTCATTTCGCGAGAGAGATGCTGCGTGGACCAGCGCGCGGGCGACTGCTGTGCGCAGAACCATCAATCTTTTCATGGTTCTGTTTGATTTCGGGGAATTCATCAGTCAATCTTGCACTTTTTGAGAGACTGTAAACATTGGTGGGGGAGGGGGGGTCTTCTAGAAAAGGAATTTTTGATTTTTTAGAGTGTCCGGGATGTCGGGGGTCACTGATTTTTTGGCAATCTGTCAGCAATGATTGGAATAAGGCTGATCATCAGTGGTTTCTATCACTGAAATTTGGGGATGATTTGTAAAAATTACACTTGTGAGGAAATTTAATAGAATTTCCTCAAGGAGTTCTATTGAATTTATATTGGAACTCTGTGAGAATTTTATTGGAGTTCCAAAACCAAAAAAAGGAAAATTCATGCCCAAGAATTCTTAGAGAAAAGATTCCTACAGTATAAGTTATATTTTTCTATAAGAAAGTGTCTATTTAAAAATGCAGAAGACAGTTGCATAATTTTTAATACAATTGGTGCAAAAAATAATGTGAATTTGTGTGTAGGGCCATCAATCTTTTCATGGTTCTGTTTGATTTCGGGGAATTTATCAGTCAATCTTGCACTTTTTGAGGGACTGTAAACATTGGCGGGGAAGGGGCGGTCTTCTAGACAGAGAAAAGGAATTTTTGATTTTTTAGAGTGTCAGGGATGTCCGGGGTCACTGATTTTTTGGAAGTCTGTCAGCAATTATTGGAATAAGGCTGATCATCAGTGGTTTCTATTACTGAAATTTAGGGATGATTTGTAAAAATTACACGTGTGAGGAAATTTAATAGAATTTCCTCAAGGAGTTCTATTGAATTTATATTGGAACTCTCTGAGGATTTTATTGGAGGTCTAGTAGAATTCTATTAAAAAATTCTATTTGCTTCTTGCATTAATTCTATTGGAGTGTATACAACTTTACTATAATAGTTTTTAAAGAGATAATTGATGCAAGAAATTTAATAGATTTCGATTTTTCTATAGAAACTCTTGGGCATAAACTTTCAAATTTTTTTCCCTGTATTGTCATTTTTTTTTTTTCGTAATAAAAATCAAGAAAAAAATTGAAAATCCATGCCCAAAAATTCTTAGAGAAAAAATTCCAACAGTATAAGTGATATTTTTCTATAAGTGTCTATTTAAAAACGTACAGGATAGTGGTATCATTTTTAATAGAATTGGCGCACATAAATAATTAGAATTTCTGTGCCGGGCCATCAATCTATTCATAGTTTTGTTTGATTTCGGGGAATTTATCGGTCAATCTTGCAGACTTTTTGAGGGACTGTGAACATAGGCGAGGAATGGATGTCCGGGGTCACTGATTTTTTGGAAATCTGTCAGCAATTATTGGAATAAGTCTGATCATCGGTTATTTCTATCACTGAAATTTGGGGATAGATTTCTAAAAATTAAACGTATGAGAAAATTTAATAGAATTTCGTCATGAAAGTCTGAATAATTTTTGAGATATTGAACAATATGGTTTTATACAAAAAATTGAATATCTTCAAAACTACTCATTCGATTTCGCCCATCTGAAATCCCAACCTGTAATATAGTAAGAGTAGAGTTAGAGCTAGAATCCTACCAAATTTCAACTTTTCGTGTTCACATCAATTTTATCACAAAAATGAAAAATGTCAATCACTGGACGATTCGCAATAGTTAGCTAGGCATATTATGATCTGATTCGATAGATATTATCATAAAGAATATTTTGACGCCAAAAGAAATTCATTTGATGCAGTAGTTTTCGAGATATTGAGAAAAGAAAAAAATTTGTCGGAATCGCTGTATCTCAAAAACTATTGGGCCGATTGAGCTGAAATTTCGCCCAGATGTGCTCCCAAACAATACCAATTATGAGCCAAAATTTCAGATTTTTATCCATCAGTTTAGTCCTTTTTTGTTAAAATTTATAAAAAAATTCCCAGAATTTAGTACGCACATACGGACGTACACACAGACATTCTCTAAAAACATCATATCTCGACGTTTCATGACATTCTAAGTCATTTCCGAGCAAAATTAGAGAATCGAAAAATCGACCGATTACAAAGCTTCCATTCGGAAGCACAAATGACTGAATTTCAGAATTTCGCCCTCTTTCAATTTCACTCGAATTTCACAATCGCCAATCCCTAATAATTGATGATGGATCCCTGGACGTCAGTGAAATATCCCTGACAATCAATTTTCTCCTCTCCCTAGATTTGCTTTTTTTTTTAATGCAAATTGTGACAAAATCTGGAATTCCATCTACCATTATTCGTGGTGTTACCCATCAGATTATACTTCATGTTTTGTAGTGGGGTATTAATCAGGATAGAGAGTGATTGTAGGCAATTAATGTCAGGATTAAAATCTGGTGTTTATATTCATGGACTCGCCATACAGAAATAGAGTCTTTCATTTGAAATTTTCATAACCGAATTATTTGATAATAGAACGGGTCAATTACATTCGCAGATGACTTTTTTATACTTTCGTCAAGTGCTCTTTGCAGCTCTAACTCTGCATTACAAAAAAACTTCTCATCTATTTCCCCCTACTCCCGGATGACTCAGATATATTTATCAAGGAAAAAACTCACCCTTAAGTTGCCCTGACTAGTTTTACATCACAACAGACTTAATCGCCCCGAATGTCCCATTATTTCATGAATACCGGACATTTCTGGGATTCCGCTAGCCCGACTCAATTATATTATTAATTATTCGCTGCAAAATTGTTCGAATCATTCGGAGACAACAAACAAAGCCGTTTTTGATCTCAATAGAAATAAATTTTCGCCGTTTTATGTGACCGGCAACTGGGCCTAAGTGTCCAAAAAATGCACGGAGAGCAAAGTTGGATAAAAATTACACATTCCACAAAAAGTGTCATGGATTTTGGGCCTCCAAATTTCGATTTTTAATTTTCGTTTATATTTTGTTAACCACACTGAAATGAGTAAAGTTTTCATGTGACTGCATTAAACAAATGCAGGTAATACCATTTTCCATCGGAAATTTTCTACATTTTTCAAGAATGAAAAATTCCAAAATTTGAAATTTAAATTTTTACTATGAGTAAAAAAAATTTAATGACAAAAAAATGAAATAAACATTACAACTCATTATTCAATTCGAACATTCGATTTTGAAATCTTGAAAATATTTGTTTTGAGAAATTCAGAAAGCTTCCGATGGAAAATGGTGTTATCTAGGGGACTGTGGGGTAAAATGAAACACGGGGCAAAATGAAACAGCAAGAAAATCTTGTGATCTAAGGGAGATAGGACGATTTTCATGAAAACCTTTTTTGTAGAGGTTTTACAAGCTACAAAAAAGGTCTCCTTCAAAAATGTCCTATCTCCTTTAGATGACGAGATTTTCCCACTGTTTCATTTTGCCCCGTGTTTCATTTTACCCCATGCTCCCCTACAGATATTTTTTTTTTACTTCGGTCACATGAAAACTGTAAAAACAAAAAATTAAAATAACGCAAAAATAGGTTTTCCTGCTACTTACGTAGCAAAAGGTCTGAAATTTTCACGGTTTACTCATTTTAGTATGTTTAACAAAATACAAAACGAAGATTCAAAATCGAAATTTGAAGGCCCAAAACCCATGACATTTTTAGTGAAATATCTCATATATATGTCAATTGAATTATTTGACCCTTCAATTGACATTGCAAATAAATAAATAAATACATAAATAATTACGTAAATAAATGAATTCATAAGATCGTGGAGAGAAAAGCAACGGCGCAAAACGAGAAATAAAATAAAATCCGTTGTGACTCCAAACACATTGAAGTATTCTCCCGTAAATTTCTGACATTATTTGTATAGCCAGGGTGTACTAACACGTACGTGGCTATTCGGACATAAATAAATGAGTCAGATCGATATTTAGTCGTTGAAGTTTCAAGGCAGTTTCTGGGGACAACTCAGAGAAAAACTAAATAACAAATGATAAATAACTGCATTTGGCGGTTGCCCTCGTCCTTGAAAGGGAATGAGCCGTCACGGTTGAAGGACAAGGGTAGCAAAGTGAATCTAAACAAATTGGTAATAACAAAGGTCTGATAGTTGGCTTCGGTAATCCGCTTTTCATGTAACTGGACTTGGAGATGTCGCGTGGCGGTCGCACGCGAGGCAAATTTACTCAACCCAGTGCCTTTAATTATCCTGTATTGTTGCAACTATCGTTGCAACGGGTGTCATTTCTCTAGAATTAACAGGTCACATGATTTTTCAATTTTGATTAATTAATTTTTTGCTTCCGAATGGAAGCTTTGGGATCGTTCTAATTTACGTTTTGGATTTTTTGTAATTTTTGCAAGTTTCTCTTTATTTGTTCTAATGAATGGATGGAATATAATCTTTTTTTGTTCAAATGTAGGTGTTGTTGAGACCTATCCGACGACATGAAATATAATTTATTTAATATATCACATTTAAAATTTCAGAATGTTTTCAATTATCGAAACCAATATTTGAAAAAATTCTAAAATTCTAAAAAGTTTCCATGATAACTCAAAAACAAGCGAGAAATTGCTGCCGTATTGCGTATAGTATAGTTATTTTTGGTAATAAATTAGCAATATGCTTCCGAATGGTCATTTTGCTTATTTTTTCCCCTTGTTATTATTCATAGCCTATTTTATTTTCTTGAATTGCATCAATTTCTTTCCAACTAATTGTTCTAGATTTTCCACTTAATAAAATTCCAAAAATTTCTGAAATCTTCTATCAAATATTGTTAGGAATATTTCATTTATACATAATTGAATGCATTCGAAACATCACATTTGAAGGAACCATCAGAAAGCTAACTTTCCGGGAAATTCATGAAAAATTCGAAGTTTCTAAAAATTATCCTAAAAATCAAATTAACCGAGACAGTTATTGCAACCATTTTCTAACTTCGATATAGCCGCATAGAAACAAACATATTAAGCTATGATTGAATTCATTTCAAGCGTAATATCCAGAGATATCTGCGGAATCCTGATTTTCGAAAAATACGAAATATTGGAAAAATTTTACAGAAATCAAAATAACGATTGCTGCTGTCGCTTTCATCTTCGAACTCGGTTAAAAGGACATCCCAACGAATTTTTTAAGCCGCCATTCAATGAATTTAGAACATTTTTTTTAGTTATCGTGTTACAACTGAATTTTGAAAAAAATCAAAATAAAAAAAAATGAATCAATGAATTAAATTTTAATTAATGACGATGGACAGGGCTTAGCAATACCTACATTTGTGAAAAAAAATGATTCAATTCCATCTATTCATTAGCGAGAAATTGAAGAAAAAGTGTGTACACATACACATACATACATATGAAGGTCACCGTCTAAAAAATTCATTTTCGGACTTTTGGGATCATAATGGCTCAATATAACACAAAAAATAGAAAATGTAAATTTGAACGATTACCATGCTAAAGTGAGTAGAACTAAAAAATAGTTGCAATGACTACATTCCATCGTAGTAATGACTTCTCCGGTCATAGTTACCGTAACCCATGAAAAATTGTTGAGGACTTTTTAACTATAATTCGATGGTGATGGAATATAGTCAAAAGAATCATATTTTTCTCTCAGTGTGTAGTTATGTTATATGAAGACAAAAATTTCTCACCTGTCTTACTTTAGTCAAATAGTTTAATTTTTGAAATATTAATTTCCAGCGACACCAGGAGGGGGATTGAAGTTTCCGGTCGGCGGTACAGACTGCGGGTAGCCGTGATCGCATAGAAGCGACTCGGCGTACCCGCGAATTCAGTAGAGATCCCGTCGGGCGGAAAGTCAATCCGATTGGTGGCAAGACGCTCGCTGGGTGTCAGTGATAATAGCAATTTGGGGAGAGAGGGACAAGCCGGGGGTGTTCAACTAAGGGCTAGCAGGTGACGGGTAAAGTAACATTAGAGAGGGTTGAGGGGGGATGCAGCGCGAAGGGGTGGCGGCATGGAGGAGCCCTCGACGGAGGCTCTCATGCAGGCGGGCTTCATCTTCGTTGTCGGCATTGCCATCATACTCTCAAATCTTCTCATCATCGCTACTTACCTCAACTTTCGTGGTGAGTTCAGTTTTTTTACTTTCATACGGAAGACGATGGGTGTAAATTAACCCTTTGCACTGGGAGAAGACATTGAATTCGATTTAGGGGGGAACACACGCGAGAAAAAATTCCACAGAAAAACCTAGCGAATTCGTTGGACAATTCTATTGAATTTCTATTGAACTTTCTGTTAGCTTTTGGCCGATTCTATAGAAAAAGTCAATGGAATTGGATTTTTCTATGCACTTTATTCTACTGAAAATTCAATGAATTTCAAAATTTTTAAACAGTAGGAGAATACAGCTCCCCAATTTACTTGAATTTACAATTGAAATATGAATGTTTAGTATCAAATGACACTGAATTTTCAATTAATTAAAAATTCAATTAAAAAAAATTCTATTCAATCAATTAAAAATTCAAGGATATCTTTACCTGAATTCTCACGATTTCTATTAATTTTCATGCTATAATTAAACAAAATCTTACAGTTTCCATCGATTCTTGAATTTCCCTGATTTTTATGAATTTCCATAGAATAATTCAACTAAAATTTACAGTTTCTAATTTTCAATGACAAAATTCCTTGAAATTTCAATGGACCCAAATCTCTCGCACCCACAGAAATGTTCATTTGAATCACATGAATGTGCTCATCCAAGGAGCTCGCAATACAACATAGCTTTTATTCAAACTTTAACTTTGCATAAACTTAACTTTTTTTTAACTTGCCTTCTACTTGCATTTTTATTCACATCAAATGCATAGGTTCTTTCCAAATATTTCCTCGATTCAAATAAAGGCTTTAGAAATAAAATCACTGTTACTAGGACGAACTCTATGCCATTCATTCATTCATTCATTATTTTCCACAATATTTATCTGCAAGAAGAATATTTTAAAAGACTTATCTCCATATTTCAATCTAAAAATCTCCGATTTTTCTAATCTGTTTCGCCGCATCACACGTGCGAAAGAATTTTATATAAAAACCTGGCTTCGCTTCGAATTCTATCTATTCTATTGGATATTGTATTGGATTTGGATTTCCATTGAACTTTCTATTAGTTTTTAGCTGATTCTGCTCAAAAAATCTGCAGCTCACCTGAATGGTTTTCGTCAACAGAAATGTTCAATGGAAAATATTCAATTGAAAAACACAATAGAATTCGATTTTTATATACCCTTCATTCTATTGAAATATTTTCTATAGAAATTGCTCAGCTCAAATAGTTCAATTTTTTTGATTGATTTTTTTAATGAAACGAGAAAAAAATAGACTGAAAAAACATAGAAACTTCATGTCCTATAGGAATTCCTATAGAAAGTATCTCAATAGATAAAATTTTACTGATTTTTTCTATAGAATAGTTTCTATCGGACATTTTCTACTGAAAAAACGTGCAGTTGAGCTGTCGGATTCTTCAATAGAATCAACAAAAAACTAATAGAATTATAATATACGGTAGAATGGTCGAGTAATATGGATTCACTCTCAGTAATTTAAGAAACTTTAGTTTATTAATTTTCTAATTAAAGAACAACGGTTTATTTCGATACACAAGAATAAATCAGTAGTGAAGTGGTAAAACGGTATAAGTCAATTTTGACTATCGACCAGTTTTCAACAAATATCCCAGAATCTAAGGGAGATTGCAAAATTTTTGTTATAACCTTTTTTGTAGAGCCGATTAAGTGCTACAACAAATGTAATTACGAAAATTTCGCTAATTCCCTTAGAGTCCGAACTATTCCTCAAAAACTCAACTGGGAGATAAGTCGACTTAAACTGTTTTACCATTTCGCTACTGAAATAATTTAAAAAGTGAACTCAAAATGAACTCAGTCGATAATGAACTCCCGAGTCCAGTGTGTTCTCGATTTTTATCCAAAAACCATGGCACACTTGCCTCGATTCGTCTTTGTATTCGCATTACAAAACAGTCTCGTGTTGCAATACGATGCTGAGTCGATAAACCCCTAATTTATACAATGGAATATTCTGGGGTACAACTGAATTTTCATTAGAAGTGGAATAGAAATCGAATAGAATTTTCTATCGAATTCGCTAAATTTTTCAATGAGATTCTTCCATGCGGTGTACATCCTTCCAGATTCGAATGATAAGATACGTCTGTTCAAATCAAACTTCCGAAATAAGTCCTCCCAAATCATTCTCTTGAGCTACATCATCTCTGCTACAAACACATAAAAATTCTCCGCGACGAAAAATGTACGAATCGTTTTTTTGCAGGTCCCTCCGAGGTGATAAACTACTATTTACTGTCGCTGGCAACAGCAGATTTGTTTTGTGGTCTGCTGGTAGTGCCACTCTCCGTATATCCTGCCTTAATGAAAAGATGGGTCTACGGAGATATTGTTTGCCGTCTCGTTGGGTATCTGGAGGTGACACTTTGGGCTGTCTCCGTCTATACCTTCATGTGGATGTCCGTTGATCGTTATTTGGCTGTCAGGTGAATATCTCCTTCCTCGCTGGTTACGTCCAGTTAGCACCCAATGTTATGGTATCTCTTCCAAATTGGGCGGCATCGCTTGATGGTCGATTGATGGTGTTTGATGGTGTAGTGGCATTTACAGATAAATAATTTGTACACATAATTTTTTATATTCAATTTTACGTTCATGTCTTTGTGGGATTCAATACCAGCTACGTGATCGTCGTGAATCCTGGATTACGCCAAAGCTGGTAGGGTTCGATAATTACCCTACCAAGTGTAGAAATAATTTAATTCGTATGAATACTTTGATAACTGATAGATTAATAATCTTTTGTCGTACATCTAAAAAAATAATACCTTATTTTACGATTTCAAATGTCTTAAAATGAGATTTTCAGAAGTTTTTTTTTTGAAGCCGCAAAGTCTTAATTTGAGACTGAGATCTCAATTTAAGTCGTCTGATAGCCTCAAGTTGACACTTTGGAAGGTCGTAATTTGGGACTTTTGAAGGTTTCAAGTTGATACTTTTGAATACTTCAAAGTGAAACTTTCGGAACTCAATTTGAAAATTTTCTTCAAGTGAAGTCCTGAAAGTATCAATTTGAGACCTTTGAAAGTATCAACTTGAGACTTTTAACAATATTAACTTGAGGCTTTTAAAAGTTTCAACTTGTGACTTTTGTAAATTTCAAGTTGAAACATTTAAAAATCTCATTTGAAAATTTCAGATTTTCGAAAATCTCAATTTGATATCGTAAGTCACAAAATAAAGCTTGTTTTTTTATGTATGAAGAAATGCTAGAGTAAGAGTATAATTTCGTACATCTATTTGAACATCCATATTTCATAACGTAGACATGTACGGGGGAAGATCAATTTTCGTTCCCGTATGTTAGACTTGGCGAATGGATTAATTTTGTCTTTAATCACAAAACCCTTTCAATCAACAAGCCAACAAGCTTCATTTATTCTATTAAATTTGGCAACTATGTACAATCATTACAACTAGTCTGAAATTAGACAGAGTTGTCGTTAAACGGATTAAATTTAAACTGAAAGACAGAGATATAAAAAGTGATACATTATATACTAGTAAACATCAGCAAACGACAATACACGACCATCAAACGGTCGTCCAACGATTCTTGTTGTTATTAGGCTGAAAACAACTTTTCTGGCAAATATCAGTTCCTCAAATGAGGAACTCATATTCGCCAGAAAAGTTTTTCTCGTCTTCGGCTCGGGCTGCAGTCATATGAGCATATGAGCTGCTTTACGGCCAGACTGATAACAAGTATATTTGACCACCCTGATAGAATGATTCATTTACTCCAAACGAGATTCGTTAACTGTTAACAAATGGTTCACTTGAAAGGTGAGAGTCGAATCAAACAAGATTTCTCAAAAATGCCTTCGTTAACTATTAACGAATGAATATTTGGTGAGACCAAATAGACCCTAGCCTTCAACCAAATCCATTTGTTAACAATAACTAATCCTGTCTATCAGTGTACTCAAGAACTAAGAAAGAGTACCACGAGGGATCACCCACCCAAAATTTCTCTTTCCCCATCAATTTCCCCGATTACGACGTATTTACACGGAATTAATGTGAATAGGAAACCACTGCGGTATGAAACTGTACAAACGAAAACGCGTTGTCAGTGTTGGATGGCCTTCACATGGATAAGTGTAGCTATGATGTGTTGTCCACCGCTACTCGGCTTCAACAAGCCGATCTTCGACGAGCAGGCCTTCATCTGTATGCTCGACTGGGGCAATATGGCTGCCTATACAATAACCCTGTCGATACTTGTACTTGGTCCCTCGGTCATTACCATTGTTTACACATACTTTTACATATTCTCGATGAAATTAAAATTGAGATCTGGTGTACCTATACACGACAAGGAATATGCAACAGCACTATCCGAGAATCTCAGTAATCCCAGTCATGTCATGTCATTTGCTCTGATAATGACATTCTGGTTGTCTTGGACACCATACGCCATGCTCAGAATTTATATCAGTATTCAAGGACCTACGGAGGTGAGAGCCTCTTACTTTTATGAAACGCACAAAAAAATTTCATACGAATTTCATAGAAAATTGTATTGAACTTTTTTTAAAAGTTAAATATGCATAAAGACTCCACCACTCGCGATTTTTCTGTAAGTTTGTAAATTAGTTGTAATCATTGCTGGAATAATAAGTGTGAAATATTATTTGTCGAAAACAAATGCCATGGGTGTTATCGACTATGAAGTGTCCCTCAGGATCAACGTCTCTGGTCCCAATGACAACACATGTTGGTACATAGAAAGACGTGAAACAACACAGAGATGAAATGGTGCAAGGACTCCAACTGAAACCCCGACAATAGCGACCCAATACTCCTCCAGCACTCTCCATGCGGCTAAATTCATTAAAATGCGAGAAATTGATTGTACAGTGGTTACCCCCTAACATTTCGGTTCCCTAACATTTCGAATAGTTTCATCGTTTCGTTAATTTTTAATTAATCATTCAAATTTCTGCTTATACATGGACCTTATGAACGCTATTTTGTCCCTTACCCTTTAGCCTGTTGACCATGTGCTAGCTAACAAAGGAAGCTATATTTATCCACATTAAACTCTCAAGAATAAAGGAATGAAGTCTCATCGAGTTTTGCCGTTAATTTGTTGAATAAATTAACGATAAAAATAATTGGCGTGATGTCTGTCACTATCCAAAGTACACCATGTTTGATGGTTCGTCTCTCTCGAAAATAATCTCACTAACTTGACCATTTTACGCTCCACTCACTCGCGCGCTCATCCCCATTTTGCCCTATTGAGGAGACCCCTTAAACGCTCTCTTCTCCTTCGCCAATTCCGGCGGTCCGACAACATGTGTCGATTTCGAATCCACAGGAATAACCTTGAAGAACGCAAACATCCGTTTGTTTTTGGTCTCATATCATTTTCCGACATTCCTTTCAGCTCTGAAACCTGCATTCCGCTTGTTAAAATAGTTATTAGTATGGGATTTATCGAAAAATGTGTGGTGGAGTCTTTCTGTATATTTTTAAAAAATATTGCTAGTATAAATCATACAAAAATCTATTCTTTAAATATATAATAAAATCACGTTTACTTATGAACAAAAATATTCATTAGTATTTACTGCATTTTCTTGATGTCTAAAATTTATTTTCTCCACTAGGTACCCTTCCTTCACTTTGCAGTGGTATGGTTTGGCATAACGAATAGCTTCTGGAAGGCTTTCATACTCGGAACCATGAGCCCACAGTTTCGCTTGGCTGCTCGGGTACTCTGTTTAACCCTGTGCTGCCGGCACAGAAATCTGCCGCCAGAACTCCTGGGTCTCGAGGAGGATGACTAAATATAAAATTTTTTTTATCAAAGAAAATGCAAAAATAAGAAATTTAATCATAACGATTCAAACTAAAATGTGAAACGACTCGTGCACATGCACATTCTTAGAGGATCTTTATTTTTCCTTCAATTGTTCGGTGGATTTGACACTGTCTCATTATTTTATTTCGTTCGATCATCAGAGTATGCAATTGATGTGCGAAGAATTGAAATCAGCATATTTTTCATAATTTTTTAGCCAAAAATTTTACGAAAATTATCAAAAATTTTCATGTTATCTGAGCGATTCGACATTATTCTTTTTCAAAATATTATTTTTCAATTTTTTTATGATAAATAGAAGCTAATTTGTAAAGTTTTGATTCAAATTTGGACATAAGCTGACATAAACTATTAAATTGAAAAATTAAAAAAATTGCGAAATATTCCAATTAAAAGCCCCATTCAAATATTACGTCACACGATTCACGGGAAGGGAGGGGGATCTGTAGTTTGTGATCTTGTGAGAAAAGGGGGGAGGGGGTTCCTTAAGGTGTTTCGCGTGTAGATCTCCGGAGGGGGGGGGGGGGGAAAGGGAAAG